CTACTGGGGCTGGCCTGAGCTGACACTTTTTTATAAAAAAAAAAAAAAAAAAAAAGCTGTAAATGATAGTCTGTAAATTTTTTGCATTGTTTAATAAATGTTATGCCATTATCTCTGTATGTAGTGCGTGGTGTTTGTTGTCAGTGTTTGATTACATCATGTAATAATTCAAAAATAATTCAAATAATTCAAATTCGCTCTTCCCGGCAATTTAGCTGTTGCTAATAAATGAAATATATTGCAGACAAATTCAAAAACAGAAACATTTTTGTCAAATATTCCTTAAATTCCTGAAATTATTAATTAGTCTGCACTTTTGATCTACTTTGACTATGAGTGTGCTTAATGAGTCCTAAATGGTAAAAACAACCACCTTTAATTGCTATGAGCTCTTTATGATTGACACCTTAACTCTCACTTAATTAGAGCTTCTTCTATTCTTACATATTATTATGTTGAGTCTCTTTATATAATATCCATACCTGTAAACAACATGATGGCTTACTAGGGATATGTTGTGAAACACATTTTTTTTTATTTGACAAATATTTTAAAAGAAGAAAATGAAGAAACGAGGAAACCTAAGTATATTTACTGTTTTTGTACAATGACACATTTCTGACTATATTTGTATAAGTATATGATAAATAGCACAGACTCTGTAACACGTTCGTTTTTTTATCTCTAGTCTTTTCGAGGTCCGAATGTGCAAGCGACCAGCCAGGGGCGCTTTTTGGTCGCTTCTATCGCGTTCGGTGTCTATGCACCGTTAGCCTAAACGCGCTGCTTTGCGCTGCAGTGCGGTCCTCCTGCCACAGAGGGCGATGTCTGTTACAGTGCTGCAGCTCTAGCAAACTTCCGCTGGCCTGAAGGATTTGTGCCGCAGATTCGACAGAAATGTGGGTCTTTATTCAGTAAAAAAAAGACTGTAAATCACGATTTAGTGAATAAATTTATTCGCATATAGGTTCTGGCCTGTATATAAATTAGTATTACTTCGCTCTTTGGTCGCTGAGGGAAATGGATGGACAAAAAGCAGGTAAGAAATTTGGCTAGCTTCAACTCGAATATGTTTTTCGGGTCTTCATGTTAACTCGGGCCAAATCAAAATAAACAGACGTGCATGGTTAAAAAAAGGAAACCGTTTCATTTGGCGTTTTTTAATATTTTGCTCAAACTATGGACACTATACAGAAAGAAAAGTACAAATAAGCTACAAACCGTAACCTGTTACGTTAACACACAGTGTCACCTGACTCTACGGTCAATGTAGTTCCCACACTTAAATCAGCATTAAATGACAAATTATACGCGTGTACTTTACTATAGCAATAATTATTATAGAAATTAACAACGTATTTGCAACAACTTGTACAGAAGATCTGGTTAGTTTGGGAGTGGCTTTTAAGCTATTGTTCCTGTAATAATATGTTTCATTTGAGGTGGATTGGGAGTTGAGAGAAAACCGATTACTTGTTGGTTATTAATCTTTTTACATTTTCCAGCAGATTACATACATGCAGCATATAACACGGTAAAATTAGCCAATATCCACCCCATAATTTCTCATATTGCCGCAAAATGTATCTTCTCTGTGCTACAAATATTAGTTAATTAACACATAAACCTCTACGGTTCACTTGTTTATATCAAATCAAGAAAAAAACACGACGAGATCAACTTATTTAACAAAAGGCTCTGGATCTGCCACCTTTTCTCTCTGTGTCCCCAGCTGGTTCTGTGTTTATGTGTCGCCTGTGCAACGTCTTTTCTCCAAGTCGCTCCCAGCTACTTGCACATTGCTCCCAGCTGCACCCTCAGCAGGAGCCTCTAGATGACATCATTATTGCGCTGCAACCTCTTGTGGCAGATCCTGTGGAGAAGCTGGCAGGTCAGAGCACCACCACATCACCACTATTACTATCACAAAAAAAGACCTTACTCAGGTCTGTAAATGTTTTGACTTTTGGCTACACAGACAATGATTGCAGAATAATGTCTTCGTAGATGCTGTTCTCTTAGGTGGACGTGTTGCAAGAAATTTAAAAAAAAATTGAAAAAAACAGTGCTGCCTTTTTTAAACTGTTCTGTTGGATTATTGGCCCACAGAGACCCCAGTGAAGCGAAAACGAGGAAGACCAAAGGGCTCTACGAAGAAGATACGCACAGATTTGACAGAGGGCACGGCCATTTCCAGCCATTCTCCAGAGAATAACTCCAGAGAAGAAAAGGGAAAAAAGGAGGAAATTCAACAATTTAATTCAGCAGAAGGTGGTATTGTTGCCTTATACAGTGTAAATCAATCTTTTGTTACCTGGTAGTACTGGTCTGCAGACTGCTAACTGATTATATTATTTGGATAGCTGGTTCTTGTTTTGTATATGTTTTTGTAATAATGTTTTTTTTAGTACAAAAAAATGATGGGATATCAGGGCTGGAATGTAGACACTGCCATCGCTCATTCAGCAACAGGCGTCAAATCCTTAAACACATCTGCCTAAGAGAAGAGGATGAAGATGCAGATGAGGAGGAAAATGGTGAGGAATCAAAGGGCACAAATGTGACATAATTTATCAGCAGGAAAGTCAATGCCTGCCGCAGATGATTTCAAAGAACAGTTAGTTGGAGAGCATGCTACAAATGTTGCTTGAAGACTGTTAAATCTTTTCACACACACACTGACGATGTTAAAGTAGATCTAGTTACTGTACCTAACATTTGAAGTTTATCAATTTAATACACACAATCATTTTCAGGGAGCATCTCTGGTACAGCAGAAGGTGAGGGAACGGAAAATGTGGATCCCGGAGGAGTTGATCCAAACCAGAATAAACACAACCAGACACAATCAGGACTTGATCGAGAAAGCAGTAAGATCATGATTATGGTTTCTTAAAATTAATCATTATTGGAAGAATAATGATCTGATTTATCTTTTGTTCTCTGTTTATAGAAGGGGGAAACTCTAGATCCTTAAAAACCAACCACAGTTGCATCTCCAAGGAAGGAGGCCAAGCAACAGGAAACAAAAAATCTGTTATCAGTGTTGTTCTGACAGAAGATGAAACACTTCCAGGTTGGCATTAAAGCGGTATTTAAGCCTGTTTTTACTTTCTGGCTAAAAATGCAGTTTTATGAATAACTATAATTCTTCACTTTTAATTCAAAAGGTGTTTTTAAAATGGTTCCTGTAGAGGAAGGTTCAGCAGAAGCAGAATCTGGTTCTATCAAACCTCAATCTCAACCTGAGGTAAGTGCTGGAATGCTGTGGAACAGCAAAGAGTCAGTTCACACAGATTTTAACCCCTTAAAGCCTGAAACATGGAATTGCCCAAATCAGTTAAATGGAGTGTTTATTGAACCTTCTGACAAATAAAATTATAATATATTAATTTTAATTTGTATCATATTTGCCACATCCAGCTATTTATGTAATTTATTCCTAAAAAATGTAACGTGCAATTTATTTTGTTTTTCTGGGGGTAAAACTATTACACTGATTATGTATCTAGGAGTCCTAAAAACGTATGTATTAAATAGATTACATTTGGCTTTAAAGGGTTAAAATATGTTTTTTTATGTACAACAAAGTCTTCTAACAAAGTTACACATTTCAATTTACACATGGTTTGAGACCTCTTCCTTTTGTAACCATGTTAGCCACGTGCTGTTTTGATTTGATGTTGCTCATAAAACTCGAAATTACACAGAAGTAAAATTCATCAGCAGCATCTGTCCTTTAGAAACACAGGATTGTGCACAGTATTTACATTATACTTACTTTCTGGTGACATGTCTATAACCTGTTAACAGTGTTTTTGTTGCAGTGAAGAAAGTTTTAGTAGTTCAGCTGAATTTGAACTCGTGATTCTGTCCTAAAAAACAGCGGTCCCCAACCTTTTTCGCGCCACGGACCGGTTTATGCCCGACAATATTTTCATGGACCGGCCTTTAAGATGTCGCGGATAAATACAACAAAATAAAACTAGTACCGGTACCGAAAAAAAGCATAACACACGTGAAAAGACCCAGGAAAACTGAGTAAATGATAAAAACGATAACAAAATAACACTGAAAACCGATAAAAACCCTGAAAACCATACATTTCACACCTGAGCCTCAACTCTCGCGGCCCGGTACCAAACGACTCACGGACCGGTCCGAGGCCCAGGGGTTGGGGACCGCTGCTAAAAAAGATACCGTGTTTGTTTGTCCAAAAGTATTTTGTGACATTATTATATTGATCTTTCTGGACATTCAGCACTCTGCAGTCTTCCAGAATGAGTCACACGATGTTGCAAGTGAAGCCACCACAGATAACCCTCAAACAGACCAGGAGCCAAGGTAATAAATAATTTATTAAACCAGAAGATTTCTTGTAAGTAATTAGAAGTCAGTGTTATTGATTTTAGGTAAAATAGTTGATTTGTGAACGTTAACAATCTTTTACAAGATTTTTAAGTTTCTGGTTGTCACTGTGTGACCTGTCAATGTTTTGTTTTGTTTTCTATTCCTAGTTCTAATCCTACCACAACAACAACGACAAACAGCAGGGGCTTCCAGGAATGTTCTATCAAACAAGATGCTTCCACGTACGTTTTAAATATTTTAATATTTCTAGTTGTATTTTCAGTCATATGTTGTTTCTTCATATGTGCATCATGTGAAAAAATAAGCGCACCCTTACTGCCTTTACAGAAATTAAGAAAGTAAGTAGCATCCAGGTGCTGCTAATCAAATTCACTTGACTGTTTCAGATCAGCTGAGAATAGTTTTAAGGCCAATTCCAAACAATTTGTCCATCATTCTACAGCGAGAAAGATTATTTACAGGTATTCAAGACAGTTATTAATCTAAGCAGGAGTGGGCGTCCCACTAAATTATTCTAGTATTAGACCACTACATATAATACCTTGCAGGCCTCAGTTAGCATGTATAATATTAAAGTTCATGACAGAACTTAAAAAAATGGAAGCATGGATTAGGTTACATCTTTTGTAATAAAGTCCTTAGGACAGACAAAACCAGATGCAAAATATCAACTAGGGCTGCCACAAACGATTATTTTGATAGTCGACTAGTCACCGATTATTTTTGTGATTAGTCGACTAATCAGATCATGCATCCATTGGACGTAAAACACAGCTCATAGCAAGGCGGTGGCACTATGGTGATTAGAGCTTCTTTACAGCTGCATGACTTTGCAGTCATTGAGTGGACTCCTCTGTATACCAGAGTATTGTAGAGGCCATTTGCCCAAAAGCTAAAATGTGCAACAGATTAATGATCCCAAGCACAACAGCAAATCTATAACAGAATGGCTGAAAAAAAAAGAATCAAGGTGTTGCAATGGCCCCGTCAAAGTCCAGACATCATCAGCCCGACTAAAATGCTTTGACCGGATCTTAAAAGCACTGTGCATAAATGAATGCCTGCAAAACCTCAATAAACTAAAGTAACACTGTAAAGAAAAGGAGGGCAGAATTCCTTTACAGTGATGTGAGAGACTGTTAAAGTCCTACAGAAAACTTACTTCAAAAATTACTTCAAGTTATTGCAGCTAATGGTAACAACAAAATGCTGGCTCATGGGGTGCACTTAATTTTTCACACGGCAGCATAGACACGACTGTATGTGGATTTTATTTTACACAGTTTTTAGATTTGGGGGTACAGTGTAGCTAAAAGCTTCTTCTTATGTAATATGACAGAGGTTGGGTCCACCCTGTTTCACCATGATATTAACAGGAGTGAAACTGATCAGCTATGAGAAATGTAATATTGTCACCTGCTGTCTTACAGTTTGCCTCAGAGCCACCTGAAAATTTTTGCCTGTGAGTTCTGTAACAAAATCTTTAAGTTCAGACACTCACTGGTTGCTCACCTGAGGACACACACCCAAGAAAAACCGTTTCAGTGTCTGCACTGTGACTACGCGTCGGCCATCAAAGGTAAATTAGTCTATAGATTTCAGGTTGGCTGCGTAAATGAATACAAAGTTGAAGTTGCTTGTGTTTATAGCATTAACTGGAAAAGGAAGAGTTGCACTACTTACTAGATTTGTCCTTTAAAGCAAACCTGAATGTTCACCTGAGGAAGCACACTGGAGAGAAGTTCAGCTGTCAGCACTGTCCTTTCAACTGCCTCAGCCCAGGACACCTCAAGGTGCTGATATACTGCTCTTAGTAGTCATAGTGTTGCATGCTGAGTATTATTAGCATTAACACACAGGCTTCAAGATATTAAAGTTCTCTTTTGACTGTGTTAGATATACTGAATGTATTTTCAGTGTGAAGCTGCATGGTTTGTAATTTGTGTCTCTGTGGATGCAGGTCCATATAGAGCGTGTCCATATGAAGGTGAAGCAGCACTGCGGCTTCTGTGAGAAAAAGTACTCTGATGTCAAGAACCTGCTGAAACACATGGAGAAACGACATAATCTAAAAGATCCCACTGTTTACCAGAGCTACCAACAACTGAGGTTTGTCCCGCTGAAGAGGTTTTCAAACTGTGAGGTGCTCCTCCAGGGAGGTGGTGCGTGAAGTGTTGAATGGGGTTTATAGCCAAAGAGAGAGGGAAGAGTTCCTGATGTAGCTCATTGTAGATACACTATATTGCCAAAAGTATTTGCTAGAGAGACATCCCGTTCTTAATCCACAGAGTTTAACGTGATGTTGGCCCACCCTTTGCAGGTATAACAGCTTCAACTCTTCTCTGAATGTTTTCCACAAGGTTTAGGAGTGTTTATGGGAATTTTTGACCAGAAGGCCTGGCTCGCAGTCTCCACTCTAATTCATCCCAAAGGTGTTCTATCAGGTTGATGTCAGGACTCCATTCAAGTGCTTTCACATCAAACGTGTCTTCATAGATCTTTCTTTGTGCACTCGTGCGCAGTCATGTTGAAATATAAAAGAGCCATCCCCAAACGTTTCCTACAAAGCTGGGAGCTGAAATTGTAGAAAAGGTCTCGATATGCTGAAGCATTAAGAGTTCCTTTCACTGGAACTCCTATAAAAAAATAACCTCACACCAAAATTCCACCTGCACCAAACTTTACTCTCAGACAAATACTGTTCTCCTGGAGAACAGTATTTTCCCCAAATCTAGACTTGTCTGTCAGCTTTCCAGAAAGAAAGGCGTGATTAATTATTCTAGAGAGCACATGTCCATGACTCTACTGTCCAGTGGCAGTGTGCTTTACACCACTGCACCTGACACTTGCATTGTGATCGATCACGGTCCCACATTGGAATTCACTGAGCTCCTGAGGGTGACCGGTTCTTTTACAAATGTTTGTAAAAGCTTGATTTTATACACCTGTTGCCATGGAAGTGATTGGAACAGCTGAATTCAATGATTTGGATGGGTGAAGGAATACTGTGGGCAATATAGTGTTATTATTTTTACTAATTTGGCTTGTAATTAATTGCAAATGATCTTTGCAAGTCACAACACATGCATTTTTTTTAAAAATTTGGGTGAAAAGGGGGAAAATTACTTAATTTTGTCACTGTCAGATTTGGAAACTCTGATCTTCGCTGATATCTCTGACTGTTTCCTGTGACCCTGCCTTTGTAATCTGTTCCGTTTGTCTATATAATCCAGGTTAAAAACTCGCCAGGGCCTCAGACAGCTCCTTTACCACTGTCACACATGTAACCGACGCTTCAAAAACCACCTAGAGCGAGAGCGCCACATGTTAGTCCACGGGCCTAAGCGTCCCTACGCTTGCCTGCTCTGTGACCATGCTGTGACCAAGATGGTCGCCCTCTCTGCTCATGTCAGGAAGCACCTCTTCCTGTACGTGTGCTCCGTGTGCAACGAGAAGTTTGTCAGCTCGCAGAGGCTGAAGAGTCACTTGACAGAGTGTCACCCAGGACTAGATCAAGAGCAGACTTTCACTGACTCCATCAACAGCAGCTACTATTTGGCTCAGCCTGGAGGAGACATGCTGGGGAGTGAGGCGAGCATGGACACACAGGAGTGCCGGATACCACAGGAGAGAGAAGAAGACAGAATACGAGAAGAGGACGGACAACATGGCACAGGGGGGAAGGAATGGGAAGATGTGGAAAGAGAACAGCTGAGAGAAGAGAGAGAGCATGAGAATGAAGAAGAACAGGCTAATAAAAATCCCGCTGAAAGTTTAGAGGCAGTGCCGCTGATAGATGGAGAGATGGGAAAGGAAGTAGGAATAGAAGAGAGAGAAGCACAGCCAACCTTTAAAGACAGACAAGAAGAAGCAGCAGCAGAGAAGATGTCACACATTAAGACGCCAGACTCATGCAGCTCTGCAGCTGAAAGACTCAAAGAGGACTCACACACCTTATCACAAGAGAACATTCAAAGTCCACACTTAGAGGCTGGGACTCAAAAAAATGGACACACACCTGCTGAGAACACACACACATCATCTTCATCTTCATCATCAGGAACTGTAACCCCGTCTGATGCCAGCGCATGCACACATTTGTCTGCAGGTCCAGACAACAGCCAGGCTGCACAATCAGAGGAGGTAAATGCAAA